GTGGTTTTCATTTTGTTACTAGAATTAGAAATTAATTGATTATAATGAAGATTTTTAGCTCCTTTAATAACACTCGCCAAAATATTACAGTATGTTTTATAATAATATTTCAGATCTGGCTCATACCGTGCTGAATCTCTGGGAAAATTGAGGAATCTCAATCCAGTTTCTTCACTGGAAGGCGTGCATGCTTCAGCAGAACAATTTTTTTTTCCCATCTATAATGCAAGAAACAATACAAAAATTATAACAGAATCAAAGTACACTCTCACTTTCTTGAGATTCTACGGTCCTTCTTTAGGCTACACCGAGAGATGCTTAAAATACAGAAATACGATTTGGATCATTTGGATGAAGTATCGTAGTAACACTGACTTCATGTTTGTTTCTAATTTCACTGTGCGTAGTATGCATAATCCATATACATAAGTAACACACAGATGTAAATTCATGCATAAAGGGCGACTCTCGTTTCACAACATCAAATCAAAGTCCCTACTTACTAAATAATCTAATTAGTTGCACAACATACCACAACGTAGTACATACATTTTCAGAAACTACGCAGGATTACAGAAACAACGCCCAAAGAGCCCAAACCCTTCAACCGAAATTTAAGATCCTCTGATTAGCTGACACTTATGCGATTCGATTATTTGCGAAAGTACTGTACAAGGGAAAAGGAGACCCAGAAGACACGAACAACTACCGAGGGGTAGCGTTAGAAAACACAATGTTCAAGATACTGACCAAAACCCTAACTGACTGTTTAACAACAGTAGACTCACTTATCCCGGAAAATCAATTTGGGTTTCGGCCACAAAGATCAACGATACAAGCCATCACGGCACTACTAGAAGCAACTGAAGAAGCATTAAGACATCCATGAGGAAAATACCATGTAGTTTTCATAGATTATAGCAAGGTATTCGACCTACTCGACAGGAGTATAATCACAACAAAACTGAGGGAAATAGTAGGAGAAGAAAACACAACAACAAGACTAATAGGAGACATCCTCAAAAACAATAAAATCATAATAAAAGACATGGTGTCAGAATCCGAAGAAATAACCCAAACAAATGGCGTACTGCAAGGGGACCCCCTCAGCCCATTACTATTCAATATTACAACAGCAGACTTGGCCAAAACAATGGAAAAACACACAGCGGTACAATTAATTATGTACGCAAACGATATGACGATTGGAGGGAAAAATACTGAGGAGCTACAGGAAGCCTCCACTACACTGGAGAACTGGGCAAGACATAACAAGCTACAAATAAATAAAAACAAAACTCAACTAATGACTTTCAGAAAAGGAGGGAAAAAAGGAAAAAATGATGAAATAAAATTTAATGGAGAACACATAAAATCAGTAAAACTATATAAATATCTCGTCCTAACACTGCAGTCTACATCTACAACAATCACGGCACACATAACAGAAAAATGCAAAGCAGCCATCAAGGCTATATACACCATTCGAAACCTGCAACTATTATCGCTAGAAACAGCAATGAAAATATTCCATGCAATAATTTGTCCCATACTACTATATGGTATAGAGATAACCTGGGAAAAACTATCCAAACAAAACCTGCGGAAAAATAGAACAAGTGAAGGCAAGATACCTTAAACTAGCGCTAGGGCTTCCTTAGAACACACAATCCAGACTAACATACGAACTCTGCAAGGAAAATTTCCTACTAGAAGAACTCAGATATCAACTGCCAAGCACAAAAAACTCAGAGGAAGTTATCAAAGAAAGAAAACAAAAAAGAGAGGAAATATGGGAAGAGTTCTACAGCACTGATGCAACACCTGGACGACCTGGACAGGACCCAACAGAAAATTACGACACACAATTACATTACTAGGTTGGCAACACACGGATTCCACCACAAGATATGCAAGAACGAACGTTTCCACGAAGCAAATGACGCGCGTGTGTGTGTAAACACTGTGATAAAAAGTGCAGTAGATACCACATTACCATATGCAAAAACTTAACCACATCAATAACCGACTACAGTCGCGAATAAAAACAATTACTGTAGGCACATTGTGCGCACTCGCTTTATATATATATTATTTGCGTTAGGTGTATTATGACCGATTATGACCGATTCTAGTCATTTCCAGACTATCTAGTTCATGTAGCTGAACATAGATGGCTGGTCTGCATGTTTCCCTCTCCCCTATGGGAGTTACACCCATCAGCTTCATCGAATCGTATATGTGGTAACCAATCATAGACAGAAGTCCTTTTTCATCGGTAGCGTCGGAGTGTAAGGTGATAATTATTGCGTTGCAGTTTTAATCCGTTGCATCTTGTTGTGTTTATTGTACAAAATTGTTTATTGGGATCCGTTGCAAGACAGTAACTACTGCGTAGTAATTCTGAGATGATTTTGGAATGTTTTGCGCGTAATTGGTAAGTATATGGATTTTGGTTTGATGTTGTGAAACTAGAGCCGAATTTTACTTGGTCGCCATATTTCTGTGTACGAATGGTATGCTTACTACGCCGAATTTAATTAATTCATTCGTTTCCATTATCCGTATACCCGTACAGGTAACAAACAGATGTGTCCAGATACATGTACTAAATTACATAATGAAAATCAGTGAAATATAAATAATAATGCATTCAGAATTATAAATCACTCCGTCCAATGTGACCTGTAAGTTTTTTACTACATGAAAACTTAACACCCTTACATGTTTCGGTCTCTGTGGACCATCTTCAGAGGGCAAACATCACTACAAATAGGAAACCATCATCACATAAATTGTTTAGACGTAAAGTACGTACACTTATATGCCACAATACATAGTACACAAAATTGAACATTCACAAACAGCAGTTTCCTGGGAGTGTAAAGAATTTTTATAAAATTGTATAAAATTTCTTGATGTTAATTGAAACATTTTTTGGATTGTCAATAATTAAAATTCGTAAACCATGCAGGCTCGTGTTCGTCCTCCCAACGTCCCTCTTATATGGGGCAGATATTGTGCCACCTGGCTATCTTGATGTGGAGGTTCTTTATATCGTCCAGGCTTTGCTCATGGCTGCTGTGCTGTTTTCCTGTAGTAAAAAACTTAAAGGTCACATTGAAC